TATTGGAAAACTAGTATATGATTCAGGACTCGGAGGTTTCTTAATTTCACTGAAATAAGAATAAAAGGAAATAGAATCATAAGACATGCAATGGTCATAGATTAACTGCCTTAATTAGGTGGCAAACTTGTTATGATCTGTAACAGCGTTGGACATGTCAACATTCTTCACATAAGCAAACGAGTGGCATTATTATATGCAACCATCATCCTTATCTCCTTGTAGGGTTTTCCATCACTTTCAATAGAAACCTGTTGTCACAAAGCTGCAGTCAAGTCTGTTCCTACACCTAGTAGACCTGTGGTCATGCCCTAGCCAATGTCTATAACCCCTCTCTCCTAAGCAGTGGTTCCTTTTACCCTCTCTTCACACCTGCGCTGGTTACCACTAAGATCAGGTCTGTGCACATCTGCCTGTTTCATATAAGAGGGACAACTATAATGAAAATTCTCATTCTGCTCAAACTATCTCAGTGAGAGGTTTAGTGCTAAACACTGCTAACTAAGTCTAAAATAGTTACATATACATGGGCGGTTGATGAGACAGATAGAGGTATTTTCAATAATTTGGTATAAATATTAATTGGCCTAAATAGCTATAAAGGCAGTTTTAATGCTGATAATGTTTTTGTTGCTAATACAGAGTTTTCAGAGTTCTAATCAAAACCCTTCCCATATGAATGACACTTTGCAAACTCAGATCTAGAAGTGTTAGTGACATTTCCTAGCTCCCACACATGATAAATAATAACGGGGGGAAAGTTCAGTTAATACCAACCCATAGCAACCCTATTGGATGGAGTGTAACTGCCCGACAGCGTTTCTTGTCAGTCTGCCACAGCTTTCTCACGTGGAGTGCCTGCTGAGTGCCGAACCCATTGAGTCATCCGTTAGCCCTTGTGTCACCGGGGCCCCTTGATGGCTGATTATTGTGAGATGCCATCCACTCTTCCCACTTAGCGCTTCCCTATTGACCTGTCTCTGCAGCATTCTCTACAGTTTACCTGGGCTTGATAGTTCATTGCAGTGACCATACAGAACTCATAGATAATACTCATGAATATGAGGGTTTTTTAATGGGAGTTAGCAGGTAATGAGTGAGAAATGTTCAGGAAACATTGTTCAGTCAGGATAGTTTCTTCTGCCCTACAGGCAGGCTCTCAAGTCCTCAGTTTCTTGGCCTGACCCCTGCCTTGCTCCGACAATGTTACAAAACGGGCTATAAGATGCCTAAAGAGAATACCATTCCACCATAAGACTTGGCATGAAGGCATTCAATTAACTGCTGGACACGCCCCATTTCACAAATCAGCCTCTTCCCCCAAAGCACTCAGCTTTACTTGCTGTGTGCACTGCCTTGGGCTCTTGGTTCTGCTCCTGCTCCTCTGGTAACACAGCTGATCGATGTGCAGGGATCTTGGTGTCCACAGGACACATTCCACTCCTGGTGAGATCTCCCCTTGCCTGCTTCTGAGATGGCCCATTTCATACTCAACAGGATGACAATCACAACCCTGTTAATGCAGCTGAATCATAATCTACTCAGTATATCCCCACCACCACCCCTTTTTACCCAGGTCAAATGCCCATCAGAAAACAAGTAATGTGGGAGTCTTGGCCTCTGGATAGAAGAGACATGTTAATTCACTGCATTTCACCATTGTACCGCAGAATAAATACACTGCCTGATGGTACATTATCCTCACAGTCTTTTTTAGGTTTTACCTTCTTGTTCAGCAACTGTGTCACTCTTAAGTGACATCATTGCTCTGTAACACTTTAAAGAGATCTTTTGCAGCAGATTTACCCAACACAATCTGTTTGATTTCTTGACTGCTACTTCCAAGGGTGGTAGTTATAGATCTAAGTAAAATGAAATTCTTGAAAACTTGTATCTTTTCTCTGTTTATAATGATATTGCTTACTGGTGTATTTGTTGGGATTTTTTTTT